TCTTCTTTCCAAATAGAGGCCATATCGCCCCCCCCTTGCACTTCCTGGAGTGTGTTACAGTCTGTCAGAATGACTGTGTGGATTATGTGAACCTTATAGAGCTCTTTTAAAGAAAAGCATAGTCATATCGCGTCCTACACTTCGGCCCAATCCCGTTTCTTATTTTTACCCCTAGCCCTTGTTTTCATGTTGTCATGAAGTCAGATATTCACCAGCTTCTCGTTCAAACTTTCCCGTTCCACCTTAAATGGTGCAGCAGTTGTGACACCTGAGGCGCTGGAATGCAGCTGCTGCACCATTTAAGGTGGAGTGGGACATTTAGCTAGCTAGCTACCGAGACATCAGCATAATACTAGTGATTTTTTATGCTTGTTTGGAAGAAAATGACCAAAATACACTGAAACGACATTAAACTAAGATAAAACAATTATAGTAATAATTTTTAATGGAGAAAATTCCCACATTTGTGGGTTTTTTGGTCTCTTGTTCAGCCATCTTGCCATTTTCTTTTTTTTTTTCATAATACTCTGTTTGGAGTCTGAAAAACCTCCGTTGTAGCCCGAGGGCGATGTAGCCCCTAACACTTCGCCCTACCCCTCTATCTCAACGAAAATCAGGACAGCCTACCCCTAGATGTGAACGCGGAAAACAGAGGGCTAAGGGCTGCGTGGTAGGGGCGAGGGGTGAGATGGGACTGGGCCTTCCTGTAGTGTTTTACAGTCTGTCAGAATGACTGTGTGGATCACATTAACATTATAGAGCACTTCTGGTTCATCACTGGCCTCGTGATAATTTCACGGTGTCGCAGAATGGATTTCATTAATTCCACAACAAATTATCTGACACTGAAAGGCGGTGCATGTGTATGAATTTCATAAGTTGTGGAATTTGAATGGGGCCTCATTACAGAGCCTTTGTTAATATCTCTAAGCGTGTCTAAGTAAGAGCGCTAATCTACACTCCCTGAAAAAAGGTATGAAACTGTCACTGGGGCAGGACCCCTCTTGTCACTGGGGTTCCCAGTCTGGGCATAGGTAGACAGCAAAATGACAGATTGCCCTTGTAGGATCAATACAGTAAATAATAATAAATATGAAAATAATAACAACAAAGTGATGCCTGTAGGCCGGTTTAAACTCGCAAAGAAAAGTAGCTTTTCAGGAGTTGTCAGCCGATCTTTATCACGTCTTCTGTGGCTCATTAGCTCTTTCAGCCTTAGGCCTCAGATTTCAAGTCTGCCTCTTTTTTGTCAGAGGATTTCAAAGCAGTCATTGTGATGTTTCTCATTGAAGGTAAAGAGTTGTTTACTGCCCTGTAATGATGGTTACTGAGCTTTCTTCCCTTTTGTCTGTTAAGAATGGGGGGCAGGAGGGGCCCAACCCACAGGACTCTCAGATGGCCTGGCTCAGATGTTTTAAGAGTGCCATAACGTGGTTAGTTAACTGGTGTTGCACCCATCGTCAGCTTAGCGTGAGCAATATTACAGCATTATTACGATAAATTATGATGCTCTTTTCTGAGTAGATGATGGGTCTCATCAGTATTTCTAGCACCAGGATCAACTCTGTGTATCATAAAGACAGATTTAAGGTCCTTCAAAGGTTCTTTAGTACAGAAAATGGTTCTATATAGAACCATGAACACTCAAAGAACCATTTGCATGGTCTTCTTCAGATTGATGGGAGAATATGCTGTAGATGGTTCTATATATAGCCTTTTTGAGAAGGTTCTATATAGCATCAAAAAGGGTTCCACGCTCTTAAAAAAAGTTGGTTCTTTACAGATTCTTTAGCAAAGAAAATGGTTCTGTATAGAACTGTGAACACTCAAAGAACACTTTGCATGACTAAAGGGTTGTTTACATCATGAAAGGGTTCTTGGAGAATGTGCTGTAGATGGTTCTTTATAGTACTTTTGGAATTGGGCTCTGTGTAGCACCGAAAAGGGTACTTCTATTGTAACAAGCTTGATATCGTAACAAAAGCAGAACCTGTTTAGTGCTATATGGAACCCATTTGAAAAGGGTTCTATATAGAACGATCTACAGCACATTCTCCATCAGTCTGTTGGTTCTGTGTAGAACCATGAACATTCAAAGAACCCTTTGCATGATAGGGTTCTTCAGATTGATGGAGATTGTGTTGAAATTTTGAAAAGGATTCTATATAGCACCAAAAAGCGTTCTTCTGTTGTACCAAGCTTGATATTGTAACAATAGTAGAACTCTTTTGGATGCTAGATACAACCCTTTTCAAAAAGATTCTATATAGAACAACTATCTGTACTAAAGAACCCTTGAAGAACCATCTTTTAAGAGTGTAGACCAATGCATTAGAGTGGCAGATCTTATTAATTGTGCTCCACTTATGTCTCCAGCAGGGCATTGTTAATGATGTGTGAAACATTTGAAGCGTAAATTTCCTCTATGTAGATTATCTGTGCCTGTCTTTATATATAATTTGCTTGCGCTGCTTATGACAGCTGAATTGTATTGTAACTTCGGTGGCCGATCTGTCGAAGCATCTTTGTAAGATTTATGTTTTAATGTTAAAGAAATTAGATGATCATAATTTCATGTTAAAGAACTCAGACTGTCATAATTACAGTCATAATCAAGCATAACTGGCTGTGTTCAGAGTAAAGGCAGTGATGGTGACAGGCCTTTTAATGCTGCTTACTGTTGAAGGGATGTAGGTTATCTCTGTAAATTGAACGTGTATCTTTTTAATGTAGAACATTTTGCTTACAGCTAGGACTGATGGTTCTTTGGCGTTTATGTCTCTGTGAAGCTGCTCCATGTTCCCTGAGAAGGACGCTGTGACCTTGGATAAGGACTTGTTTATGCTCATCTCCAGTCTGTCCTATCAGACATGGCGGCGGCCTGTGGTTCAGGATCTAGAACTGGGTATCTCCATCGTAGTGTAACTGGGCGACCGGTGACCATTTGGGAACCTTCAAGACCTTCAGCCTGACTGAGAGCGACTCTCGCTAACGTCATTGAGACCCGCATGAGGGACACTATCTTTGACTGAATCTCGCCAGTGACACTGTGTTCAGTTTCAAGCCTGCATTAAGATAGTTTTGATTTGTCGTGGTGTATCAGCAGTTGCATACGTAAACAGTCTAATCTGACATGTAATCTGCACTGTGATTGGCAGTTTCTTTGTAAACAATGGACTGAAATGACTGCTGTGCTTTTCCATGTGCTTTTCAGTTGGTACTGATGTGTCTGAGTAACTCTGAAGTAAAGTAACGAGTAAGTGAGACGACTTTTTCTAGGAAGTAACCACTAATCTAATTTTATTGCACTTTGAGAGAAGCAATAAGTAATGGATTACTTACACTGAAGAGTAACACTGATAGAAACTGCTTAAAAACTGCTTGAAACTGCTCATCTTAAAGCTGTTTCCTGGAACATCATGTTTTCCTGATGCTCAGATCTGCTTAAGACTTAATTGCTGCATAAACTGCAGTCACCACAGATGATTTAGAGCTTGTTTGTTACATTTCTGAAGACCACCTGTCGGCCCGTGGAACGTCTGGATTTATACTGTAGGTGGTTCTGTATTATTTATCGTAAAACAGTCTCAGACATCAGTCAGCGTGTTTGGAACCATATCATGTAATAACTTGCCGTGGTGGAGCTTTTAGAGGCATTGAACTCTTCGGACGTCTGGTTCTAAACGAGAATGACTTTGTTTACATCTTAACCATTTAATTCAGCAGTTTTTTTTGAAAAGTCAGTGAAGTTCTGCTTTAAAAACCTTTATTTTTAAGATTGTATTTAGTGTTTTTCCTGTTCTAACCCGATTCAGCTCTTCAGCTCATGTACAAACTCGATTAGAGTTGTGTCCGGTTTATTAGAGCATAGTAGACTCCTATCGCACTATTTGCGGTGTGATTTCTCTCTGTTTGTTTCTCTTGCGTAACACCCATGTCTCGGTGCTCTACCCATCAATCATTGTTGAAGCTTTCCCTGCAAATATGATCTCACTGATGACCTCAGCTTGGGCCATGGCTGGGAGAGGTGTTGCTGCAATGTGAGCTTTGTAAGACTTTCTGGGGGAAAATGTTACTATGCAGTATTTTAGGTTTTTGTGATTAAATGTTGGGATATTTGACAAAAACGACAAGCAGTCAGTAAAGGTCAGAGACCTTCCATTAAAAACAGTGATGAAATACAAGTTATACATTTTTCAGGGGATGTGTGAAGAGATTAGATACACCGATCAGGCGTAACATTCTGACCACCTCCTTGTTTCTACGCTCATTGTCCATTTTATCAGCTCCACTTACTGTATAGGTGCACTTTGTAGTTCTACAATTACAGACCCCCATGGACCCTCACAGAGCAGGTACTATTTGGGTGGTGGATCATTCTCAGCACTGCAGTAACACTGACGTGGTGGTGGTGTGTTAGTGTGTGTTGTGATGGTCTGAGTGGATCAGACACAGCAGTGCTGCTGGAGTGTTTAAACACTGTGTCCACTCACTGTCCACTCTATTCGACACTCCTACCTTGTCGGTCCACCTTGTAGATGTAAAGTCAGAGACGATAGCTCATCTGCTGCTGCACAGTTTGTGTTGGTCATCCTCTAGTCCTTCATCAGTGGTCACAGGACGCTGCCCACAGTACACTGTTGGCTGGATATTTTTGGTTGGTGGACTATTCTCAGTCCAGCAGCGACACTGAGGTGTTTAAAAACTCCAGCAGCACTGCTGTGTCTGATCCACTCAGACCAGCACAACACACACTAACACACCACCACCACGTCAGTGTTACTGCAGTGCTGAGAATGATCCACCACCCAAATAGTACCTGCTCTGTGAGGGTCCATGGGGGAATACCTTGACTCATCAAAACACCCACAGACGTATCTGTGATTGGTCAGGAAGCTCATTGCCCACCATAAAGCATTTAGTGATCGGTTGGAGGCTCATTCACACGTTGCACCCTATATCAGTATTGAGATGGAGAATATTGCGCTAAGGAGTGATACATTGTGAGGGTGTAGGTTGGGAGCAAGACCAGTATCTCCTCAGGATATTTGTTCATATCTAAATGACCGGTGTAGGTCGTATAGGAGAAACTATGAAGATGTGATGGTTGTAGCTCAAGGCTGTTTGCTCTTGGATGTGGTTGTCACTGTTGGTTTTACTTGCTATCAGCAAAGATGAGGTTATGATTAACTGTTTAAGCAAATAAGATTGTCATTTGAGACTTTGTCCACAGGCCTTTGCGTGCAGATCGTGGTTGAGCTTCACAAAAATGTGGAATAAGATCTAGAAAAGTTTATTTTGTAGTGCAATTTCATCACAGAAGCAGGACTTGGACAAAGGTGTGAATTCTGAGTCAGTTGGAATTGATATTTGTACCCAAACCACCTACATCAGAGAAAGATGAACTCCAGAGAAAGATTGAACTTTGGACTTAAAATGACCAATCGAAACCCTTTAAAGTGAGGATGATGGTGCTTTTGTTGACATACTGACATCATTGGTTGACTAGCCAATGGTAAAATGACTGAAATCTTGGAAATGGCACAAATTTGGCGACCTTGGACCATGTATTGCTCAATAACCCAGCCTACATAAAAGTTAAAAATAAAGAAATGACAACAGTGAGCTTGGCAAGCTGAGAGTTAGATTAATTCCACAGTGACTAAAGCTGTATTTTCCCTCTATTTTTTTTGTTCTTCTTTTGTTTTTCATGCCTGAAGGGTTCCCATGACAGGAACACACATGTAAGTACAGTAAGCCACAACCTGGCAACCCTGGCATGGAGATCCAAGACCTGCATTTTTTGAAGGAATACTTCATTCAGCTGTAATAAAGTCTAGCGTCCAGTCAATCAGTGTAAGTTTCCATTCTAGTACACGTTTGTGTTCTAGGTCTTATATACAAGGCTAACGGTATCGCCGTTAGCTTTCATTCATCAGCTCTGATCGGATTTTTGGGATGAAGTATTCCTAATGTGAGCAACATTGCATGATTAGAAGTGCACAGTGGAGCTGAAAGACATGCCTGGGTTGTGAATCGATGGCTTGCGCTAACATGCATCGCAGCTGGACTGAAGAGAATGTACATTTAGCTTTCCGAGCCTCGTTATCAAACGTTTGGCACTGCGGTCACTCACTTCTAGGCCGTACAGCTAGCCTGCATGACCTGGACGTGAGAGCTATTGTACTGCATGCTATACTGTACCCTTGATTTCCAGGCAGTTATATCATCTGAATAAACAGTGACGCTGTAGTAGAGTCTGAGTCATGCTTGCTAGAGGTCAGCTGCTAGCTGACCCATCAGAAACCTGAACCGGGCTTTCTCAAAAGGTCCATAGCCGAACAATTTGGGGAGATCTTTCAGAGCAAGTGTTCAAAGTTCTTCAGTGGTCACCAACCCTGGTCCTGGAGATCTACCTTCCTGGAGTCTGTTCCAACTCCAACCTGCCACAGCTAATTTACTTCTTCAGAAGTCTTTGATTGGCTGGATCAGATACATTAGCGGTTAGTAATTATTAATTACTAGGTAAAGAATGTTTAAAGTAAACTCTGCAGGAAAGTAGACCTCCAGCTCCAGGGGGAGGGTTGGTGACCACTGTTCTGTACAAACTGTAGCTCTTGACCAGTCCTAAACTTTCAAGTGATTTTATTAACGTTTTAAACAAATAGACTTCTTTTTCCTAAAAACATAGCAGTGCCTGAAATGGTTGATGTCTAACTCAAAGATGAGATGGACTGTAGATAAAGTTGCTCCAGAAAAGCTAAAAAGGATGTCTGCCTTAAAATACACAGTGGAAATCCGAGCAGCTGCAGCAACTCAAAAAGAACTGCCACAAGACTGAAAAAGTCTGGAGGAAAACTAAATTAAGTGTATATTATGCAATTCTAAAAAGTTGCATTGCCACTTATACAAAAGTTGCATTGCCACTCTGTGAAAGCAGAGGCAGTGACACCTTTCCAAGATAATAAATGGAAATAGCAACAACCCAAAACTGTTTTGAAAATTGGGTAGGCTTTTCTGGAACTGTCTTAAAGTGGTTTCATACATATCTAAAAGGTAGAGAGTACCTTGTTGGTCTAGCTGAGCATTGCACCAGTGTCTATGACATACTTTATGGTGTTCCACAGGGTTCTGTAGTAGGCCCTCTTCTTTTTTCTTTGTACATGCTTCCTTGATGTTACAATAACGTTTATATTTCTGTTTGTTATTATTACCATTTTTATCAAACAGCTACTTCTTTGAATTGTTGTTTTTTTGTTTGCTTTCACTGTTTTGCATACATTATTTCGATGCTTCATGACAACACAAGTCACTGGAACGTTCTCAGAAACACTTTCTATTTCGACAAAGTAGTTTCTTCCTTGCAGGTATGAACTGAACCATTTTAGGACAGTTCCTGAGAGACCAACCCAGTTCTCAAGTCTGTCTATCAGAATTTTATGGGCAGTGGTATCAAAGGCCATTCAGGTCAAGGTGGGGGTGTATGTTTACTCCCAGGGCTAAATACCACCATAGCTCTTTTTTAAATAACCATACATCAGTATTATACGTTTAAGGAAACCTTTGAACGGGTTCCCAAGGTCATGTTTAGGCTTATGGTTCATCTTAGGTCAAACATTGACAGTAAACAGTTGATTTTTCAATAGAAATGCTCTTGCCCTCCATTAGGTTAGCTGCAGTGAGCTAATTAGCTACCTAAACAGTACAAATTATGTTTGTGAATAATTGCCTAACCTTAGGTTTACAAAATGAACCACTGAATACTGTTTAGCTTGCTAGCTAGAACCCTAGCAAAGTAAAGTAAAGCTGTAGTTTACTGCATAAAGCCCAGTTTGAACTCATCAGAATGTCATAGTTTTTAAATATAAAGTGGTGGATGAAATGGACATTGCATCAAGAGACCCTGGGATGAAGCCATCAATGCTATCTTTAAAGCAATAATTAAAGGTTCAGTGTGTAAGAATTAGTGGCATCTAGTGGTGAGGTTGCAGATTGCAACCAACTGATTCCCCCTCCCTCACCCCTCCCTCTCCAAGCGTGTAGTAGAACCTGCGGTGGCCGTCAGGTTTTCTGCCATCGCCTGTCCTGGTTTTGTTTTGCTTCTTCATGTTTTTTTTGCTTCTTTGTCAGCGAGGATTCGCCCTCCCTCGCTTTTTCTTTGGCTAAATAAAAAGTAGGAACAAAATTAAAGTTCTCCGACTTCTCAGAACACAAAGTGGTTAGCCAGCACTGGCAGCCGTTTCAACGTACAAACCAAAAGGCGCTCTCTAGAGCCGTTGTTTGGTTTGTCCATGCAAATTGTTTTTCCACTGAATTATTCCTTCAACTTTAGCTTGACCCAGCTTACCCCACTCCAGGATGTGCTCTGTTTTCTTAAAGCTCTCTACAGGAGTCAGCGCAGGGTTATCCCCCCAGCCCCTCCCCCTCCCAAAAGGAGATTGTAAAAATTAATTTACGATGCTGTTTACAGCCTTAACATAAACACTTGCGGCAGAGGGCTCTTTATCTGGTGTTTGTATGGTGATTTGGTGACAGCAGTGAAGCTAAAGACAAGAAAAATCAAGCATGTTTTTTTGTGGTTGTTAGTGTTTTGGAAGGCAGACGCTTGAATGACGCGCGAGAAAACAAGGCCCGGCGTGAACGAGTGACTCAGTGCTGACCTTATGTTTTTTCCTGCTTGCTCTGCAGGAGCTATATTTCCTGAGGATGCAGCGGGCAGAGGAGAAGATGGAGCGCTTAGAGAACAGGATGAAGCGGAGGCTGCGCGTTTGCGTGGCCACCTGCAACCGAGCGGATTACTCCAAACTTGCCCCCATCATGTTCGGCCTGAAGGCCCAGCCGGAGCTGTTTGAGCTGGAGGTGGTGGTGCTCGGCTCCCACCTCATTGACGACTACGGGTAAGCTCTACTTCACCTTAAAGTTACTGCTCAGATCTTGGAAACAGCACATGGAGGCACATATATGGCAACCTTGAATAACTGCTCAATGACCCGACCTGCATAAAGCTTCAGAGAGAAAAGCAGAACGGCAGAAAAGCTGGCCGAGCTCAGAAGACCAAAACTGTGGTGATCAAAACCCCCCTGACCAAGCTTAAGCTCGCTTATACATCTTGTGCTGGTTTAGCTGGTCACCCTGCATGGTCATACTGGTGGACCAGCATACCAGCATCCAAACCACAACAAATCGTCACAAGCATCTCCAAAACAGTTCCGTTACAGGAGAAGGCAAGGATGTTCCTAACCTTTAAGGAAGCCCTTTATTTGGATGGTCCACTGTAGATGCTCAGTCTATCTTTAAATAAATAAAAATAAATATCTATTAAATGCAGCTGAACTTGAAGTTGCCTGTGAAAGATTCTATTAAATCTATCCCTAAACCAAAACCTAACCTCAAGGCAAAACCTACACCTGCTCCTAAATCTAACCCTAACCTTAATGTTGTTGATAATCAAGCTATCACCAGAAACTTTGTTAATAATTCAAGTAGCTGTAGATCATCCATAGAGGACCATCCAAATAAAGTGTGACCACTTTTAATAGGAGTTAACGTAGAGAGGTTTTATTGCAGTGGCTTTGGAGCATTTCTATTGGTCCCTTCGTCATGAAATGTTCACACAATGTAAATGATGGCTTCAGTGTTCAAATGATGTAGAAAAGTAAAAACTGAAAAAAATGGAGATACATATTTTTCTTTGGACATCGATGATGTGCTGGAATTGCTGCTGACTAGCATCCAAAACAAAACAGTTTATCTCAATTTTTATCATATCGTTTATTTTTTACCTTTTTGTATAATTTGAAGGCTCCCATTCGCTTTTCCTTGTGTTAACATTTCAGGATGAATGGATCAACAGAAATGGTCCAGAATTACTTGGAAAAAAGTGTTGTTCCATTAACTTCAATTACCAGTGTTTTTTTCCTTCTCCTCTAAAGTTACTCTAGGCTGTTTACTAGAGTTACTAGATAGGCTGTTTTTGAAGTCGCCAGCTATGCTGATCTTTCTCTAGCAGGTAATTCAGTCCATGAGAGTCACAGCGCTGCAGAGTTTGGTGTTTCTCCTGATCCAGCCCATCCGATGAGCGACGGTTGGATGGAAAATCAAATTTGCGCAGATCTTTGCTAAAAGAACGCATCCTGTTGTCTATAAAGGTGGACACACACTGGGGTTGATGATGACTGCTGCCACTGTTTGTAGATATGCAGTGTTCTTTAGTCCATGTTTATAGATAACAGTGAGTGATACAGTGTCAGAAACCACATAATCAAGTTTAGTAGATGTTACTGAACTGCAGTAACACTGACGTGGTGGTGGTGTGTTAGTGTGTGTTGTGCTGGTCTGAGTGGATCAGACACAGCAGTGCTGCTGGAGTCCACTCACTGTCCACTCTGTTAGACACTCCTACCTTGTCGGTCCACCTTGTAGATGTAAAGTCAGAGACGATAGCTCATCTGCTGCTGCACAGTTTGTGTTGGTCATCCTCTAGTCCTTCATCGCTAACACACCACCACCACGTCAGTGTCACTGCAGTGCTGAGAATGATCCACCACCCAAACAGTACCTGCTCTGTGAGGGTCCATGGGGGTCCTGACCACTGAAGAACAGGTTAAAAGGGGGCTAACAAAGTATGCAGAGAAACAGATGGACTACAGTCTGTAACTGTAGAACTACAAAGTGCACCTATATAGTAAGTGGAGCTGATAAAATGGACAATGAGCGTAGAAACAAGGAGGTGGTCAGAATGTTACGCCTGATCGGTGAATATTACTTTAATTTAGATCATTAGTGGTCATTGTACTTTAAAAAACATCACATTGTGTTGTTTCATGACCCTCAGTTACGTTGTAGTGTTGAAGATTCAAACTTTACTGGCCATTTAGTTGATTGCAAACTAGTAGTTCGCCCTTGGCTGATAATCAGTTGTATGCAAAACATGGAAACGTAGCGTAGACCACAAGCTCTTCATATCTCAGTACTCCTGTGTTTGAAAGTATTGTGGCCTCGAACTTGAGCTCCCCTTTCGTTTCCATGGAAACGTTGGAATGTTACACCAGTTTCTCAGCATGGTGGGCCGGTCATGGCTGGCCAAACACTTTTATCCATGACCCAGCATATCACTGCAACAAGCACACATCAGCCCTACTGGATTCCACAGAGCTCGTACTGCTTAAAATGCCTCTTCTACTGTTTCATTTCAAAAGCTCTATAATGTTCACACAGTCATTGTGACAGACTGTAATACACTACAGGAAGTGTAGGGGGCGATATGGCTTCTACTGTTTCATTTAAAAAGCTCTATAATGTTCACACAGTCACTCTGACAGACTGTAATACACTACAGGAAGTGTAGGGGGTGATATGGCTTCTACTGTTTCATTTAAAAGGCCTCTATAATGTTCATATGATCCACACAGTCACTCTGACAGATTGTAATACACTACAGGAAGTGTAGGGGGCGATATGGCTTCTACAGTTTTGTTTAATAAGCGCTCTATAATGCTTTATAATGTTCATATGATCCACACGTTGCTGGGGGGCTGTGAAAGGCTAAGTGAGACGGCAGGAGGTGTAAGGTTTTGTAGTCAATTAATTGGGTTGTAGTCAGTGATTTATGGTGATTCAGCCCAGTAACTGAAGCAAGTTTCTATAGTTGTGTAATTCTCTCTCTCTCTCTCTCTCTCTCTCTCTCTCTCTCTCTCACACACACACACAGGAACACCTTCCGTATGATCGAGCAGGACGAGTTTGACATCGGCTCCAAGCTGCACACCATCGTCCGCGGGGAGGACGAGGCCGCCATGGTGGAGTCCGTCGGCCTGGCGCTGGTCAAACTTCCGGATGTCCTGCAGCGCCTGGCGCCGGACGTCCTGGTTGTCCACGGTGACCGTTTCGACGCGCTGGCCCTCGCCACCGCAGCGGCGCTCATGAACATCCGCATCCTGCATTTGGAGGGCGGCGAGGTGAGCGGCACCATCGATGACTCCATCCGCCACGCCATCTCCAAACTGGCCCACTACCACGCCGTCTGCACGCGCTCCGCCGAGAGCCACCTCATCGCCATGTGCGAAGACCACAGCCGCATCCTATTGGCCGGCTGCCCGTCCTACGACAAGCTGCTCTCTGCCCACCAGAGGGACGACTACACTGATATCATCAAAGCCTGGCTTGGTCCGTGAACGAAGATTTCGGGTTACGAATTACGTTTTGTCTACGGAGAACACATTCCTGTATTTCCTTACTGTTTATTAGCTGAATTTAACATATTAGAGGAACAAAATACAACCTGAAATGTGGCAAAAGTTACAACGCTTTATGTTGTACACTGGTCAGGCATAACATTATGACCACCTCCTTGTTTCTACACTCATTGTCCATTTTATCAGCTCCACTTACTATGTAGGTGCACTTTGTAGTTCTACAGTTACAGACTGTAGTCCATCTGTTTCTCTGCATACTTTGTTAGCCCCCTTTTACCCTGTTCTTCAGTGGTCAGGACCCCCATGGACCCTCACAGAGCAGGTACTATTTGGGTGGTGGATCATTCTCAGCACTGCAGTAACACTGACGTGGTGGTGGTGTGTTAGTGTGTGTTGCGCTGGTCTGAGTAGAGAAACCTGTTAATCAAGAACGTAAATTTGAATCCATCAGTGTTTTAAATGAGTGATTTGGTTTCAACATGGACTGAAATAAATGACCATAGCTAATAACAGGAGTATCAGCCTTTGAAGCCTGAATATTGTCCATGTTTATAGATAACAGTAACTCCTGCAGTGTCAGAAACCACAGGCATTGCTAAACAGCTCCACATGGTTTGAGGCATGTGTAATCATTTGAACCTTGTGTAATTTTTATTGATTTATTTATTTGAGTTTGGGTTTTATTCATTTTTACGCTGCCTGTAAGTGATTTGTATACGTTTCTTATTCGTTTTAATGGTAATTAATGGTAATTCATTTGGTTCTGTTTGTGTCTGTTTTAAAGGTGATGATGTGAAGGAACAGGACTACATTGTGGCTCTGCAGCATCCGGTCACAACTGACATCAAAAACTCTATAAAAATCTATGAGCTGATGCTGGACGCTCTCATCTCCTTCAACAAAAGAACACTCATCCTCTTCCCCAACATAGACGCTGGTCAGCTCTCTCTTTCTCTCTCTCTCTCTCTTTCTGTTAATCTCTCTCTCTCGCTCTCTCTCTCTCTCTATTAATCTGTCTCTCTCTCTCTCTATTAATCTCTCTCTCTCTCTCTCTCTCTCTCTCTATCTATCATCTCTCTCTTGCTCTCTCTCTTTTGCTCTCTCTCTATCTCTTGCTCTCTCTCTCTCTATCATCTCTCTATCTCTTGTGCTCTCTCTCTCTCTCTCTCTCTCTCTCTCTCCATCTCTTGCTATTTCTTGCTCTCTCTCTCTCACTATCTCTTGCTCTCTCTCACACTATCTCTTGCTCTCTCTCTCTCTTGCTCTCTCTCTCTCTCTCTCTCTCTCGCTCTCTCTCTATCTCTTGCCCTCTCTCCATCTCCCTCTCTCTCCCTCTCTCACTCTCTCTCTCTCTCTCTCTCTCTCTCTCTCTCTCTCTCTCTCTCTCTCCCTCCCTCTCCCTCTCTCTCTGATCTCTGTGTTGGTGTCTGTGTGCAGGCAGTAAAGAAATGGTGCGCGTGATGAGGAAAAAGGGCATCGAGCAGCACCCGAATTTCCGTGCGGTGAAACACGTGCCGTTTGATCAGTTTATCCAGCTGGTGGCTCACGCTGGCTGCATGGTGGGCAACAGCAGCTGTGGGGTCCGTGAAGCCGGAGCCTTTGGAACACCCGTCATCAACCTGGGAACACGGCAGACTGGCAGAGAGACGGGTAAACGCTTAAAACATTGGGGGGGGGGTTAATTTGGAGAGAGAGGAGGAGATTCTAGCAGCACTGAAATCATCTTAATCATCTTAAGTATTAATGTTAATGAATATTCAAAATGCTACTCGCTGAGACTCAATAATAATAAAAAAAAGGAATGAAAAATAAACTAATTTGATACCAAAACTAAATTAATAGTGATTAATCCCATTAGTTTTAGTAGTTTGACCGTGAAGAAATTTTATTTTGATTGAATTCAGGGTAAATTTAACAGTAATGCAGTTTTCAGTTTTCATCACCGACGTCCAGTGAGAGAAGTACTTTTAAGCCTAAAAAAGGGCCTCTGAAAAAGGTTAAGAGCCCTTGCTTTAAACTAATCAGAACGAGATTTTTGGCGTTTTCTTTTACCACAGAAGATTTAGTGATTCTGTTGTAGTGATGTAATCATTTTATGTATGCAGTGCTTTGTTTTAGACACAGATTAAAACACTGTGACTGAAAAATAAGTGATTGTTAATTAAAAAGGGTTTTGTATGACATCATGTCTGTGCTGGGTTCCCAGGAGAGAACGTGCTTCATGTGCGAGACGCTGACACTCAGAATAAAATCTACCACGCCCTGGAGCTGCAGTTTGGCAAGCGCTATCCCTGGTACGCACCGCATGATCTCACCATACTGGCAGGCCTGGTCCCACAACAAAACCATTAAGGGCATGTTAGAAATACATAGACATCCAAAGGTCTGCCCCCCTTTTTTCACCAGACACAATCTCAGCCTTCAAAAGTGTTGAATGTTTTTCGGCTTAACCTGCATATTTATTAGCTGGTTTGTTAATATTTAATATCTGCTTTGTTACGTATTTTTATTTTACATCAAGAAAAAAAAATGACAGCGCTAATATACACTAACACACCACCACCACGTCAGTGTTACTGCAGTGCTGAGAATGATCCACCACCCAAACAGTACCTGCTCTGTGAGGGTCCATGGGGGTCCTGAGCACTGAAGAACAGGGTAAAAGGGGGCTAACAAAGTATGCAGAGAAACAGATGGACTACAGTCTGTAACTGTAGAACTACAAAGTGCACCTATATAGTAAGTGGAGCTGATAAAATGGACAATGAGTGTAGAAACAAGGAGGTGGTCAGAATGTTACGCCTGATCGGTGTATGCCAGACCTCGTCATGCATCACTATTACAAGATAATCAACATTATTTGCTTCATCGTAATGTTTTGGCTCATCTATGTACTTCAAATCGTGTCTACAAGTAGGAAACTCAAGATTTTAGATGATGCACAAGTTTCAAACCTTTCACTTCTCCTGTTCACACTTGATGCCATTTTAGTTTTGCACTGGAGCTATGAGGCTAATGCGGCTAACATGTAATGGAAGGATATACCCCACCAATTAGCAAGGAGCAATCTGCATGCATACATCATCACACTTACCTCACAGTAATCTCTAATAAGTGCTTTCTAACACTGTATGACTCACTGTTATGCGTTGCTTCTGCAGCTCTAAGATCTACGGTGATGGTAACGCGGTTCAACGTATCCTGAAGTTCCTGCAGTCCATCGACTTGACGGAGCCGCTGCAGAAGAAGTTCTGCTTCCCGGCCGTGCGAGAGAACATCTCTCAGGACATCGACCACATCCTGGAAACTCAGAGCGCGCTGGCCGTCGACCTGGGTGGAACCAACCTGCGAGTGGCCATCGTTAGCATGAAGGTAAACGCGTCTCACGCTCCTGTTTAGTCCCACAAGCTGGATGTCTATGTATACAGAGAGTGTGGTGGGTTTCATTGGTCAGTGTGGCCAAAAACTACCTGCTTTGAGAGAAAGAAACCATTTGATAGACATGAGATCCAGTGGTTTGCGGAAGTTTGTGCGCCCCAGCCAAATGACACACTTTGTTGATTTACGAATCAACAAAATACACAATCTTTTACATCATTTTCAAACATTTGCAGATGTTACTTCATATTTGATTAACCAAAAAAAATAATGAAATAGGAACTGTTGCATGTGCAAAAGTTCAGACACCCTACTGTGTTAGTACTGATACACAGGTAGGCGAAGGTAGTGTTAGGAGTCTTGCCCAAGGACTCTTATCGGTATAGTGTAGGGTGCTTAGCCAGGTGGAGGTTGAGCCCCAGTCCACTACACTATACCGACCACCTTCTAGTTATGTGATGTCTTTTAACTGTCTTGTATGTACAGCATGTTTAAGATCTATCCATAGATTTACTTAAAGTAGTTTGTGGTGGATTGGATCAGTGTCCTGTTGTAGAAGCCAGCTTATTTTAGCTTCAGTTTCCGGACTGACTGTGTTACATTTACTTCCAGAATCTGCTGATTTTTGTGGAATCCATTCTTCCATCTGCCCGTGCAATGTTTCCTGAGCCACTGGCTCCCACACAACCCCAGAGCATAATAGGCCCCATTCTTAAAAATTGGCAAAGTGTTCTTTTCATCCGATGCAGCTCATTTTTCTCCAAACAAACCTTTGGTGATTGTTTCCACAGAGTTACATTTTTACTACATCAGTTCACAAAACTTGCCAGACTGCTTCTGGCTTATCTAACTAGACGTTGACTTTGTGATGAGGTCGCAGATAAGGTTCCTTCTGATGACTCTTCCAGGGAAGGTGTTGGAAACTCTTAAGAATTATTACACTGGCTGTGTTTACATGCAAAGATTTCCGCCAACCCGATTGAATACATTCCGATTGTAGATTCAGACTGAGGTGTTTATATTCTCAATTTACTCAACAATCTGATGGAAAATCTCTGTTTACATGCTCACTACAAGTAATCCGATCCATATTTACGTGCATGCGTAGAGAACCGCTTAGTGTAGACGTTACCATGACAACAAGCATCGCGTCCAGTCAGAGCGAGATGAGCAGCAGTGAGCAGTGCTTGTGTTTTTATTTACTTTAAAATGATGTCAGACTCAGTAAAACGTCCTTCACGTGTCCTTATTAAAGAAGGCCGAGAGGAAGACGTCGTGTTCTGAGACACATAAGCTGGACGTCCGTCCCACCGCCGTCTTTTAAAGATCAGAGCATAAACTTCGTCTCCTCTGCAGACCAGTTTCTGCTCCGCCATGTTGAATGGTATAAACTTTCACTATGACGCGACGAACATGATCAGAACGGACTTAAACTTTCCGATAGGGAATGTAATCAGATACAGGCGTTTACATGGATATTATTCTTCTATTTAGCAGATTATTTACAGGATTACCCACCTCGATCAGTCGGACAGAAACTGTATTCCAAATGGCCTCAATCAGACTAGTCTAGTCCGATTGAGGTGTTTACATGGACGTATTCTATTCCGATTGAGCTCTCATTTGGATTATTAACGGATTATCAGGGCATGTAAACGTGGCTATTGATACATTTTAGGTACTGATACCAATACCAGTACCTTGATTTCGACAGAGATTCCTGAGCGATACTTTTTTCCGACGCCTTCTTTTACATTACAAACTAAAAGTGAGCTTGGCTGAAACCAGAAATAAGAGTGAATAGATTATAAGTTTTATCAATCATTAATTGATCTTTTTGTCTATGCTATTATCCAAAAACTAGAAAATGTCATGATCTAAACTCGAGTTCAAATTGTCAACCCCTACATGCAGTTCGCTTTTAAATATGTTATCATTGGACGGAGTCCATGGTGGACGTTCAGGGTGTGGTTATGGTGACGTGGACTGTCCTATACAAGCAGGATGTGACTGTCACTCCTGTTTGCTTTCTGTGTTTGCTCACAGTCTTGTTCTCTCACTAAACTGACCATAGATCAGCACTGTCCCAGGCTAAGACCGTGGCCAATACTAGACATTATTCAGTACAGTGTGAATTCATTCAATAGCTGGTTACCGACTTCAGGTATGCAGTTCACACCCTGATGTATATCTGACGCTGTAGAGAGGGCCCGCGGCTTTCGATTCCTTGGAGTCACCCTCAGCAATAGCCTCAAGTGTTTCAGAGCACATAGCAGCTGCCATTAAAAAGTCTTAGTGCTCTGTACTTTTTATATATGACAATAAAACCTTGAACTTTGAACTGATGCTTATTGCAGTGCCCCTGAGTCTCTCTGATTTATGAGGAGATGTTTGCTGCATCGTGTTTTTGTTTGTGTTGGTCTTTCTTTTCTCTGTTGTTTCTCCATTTATATGATGTAATACTGCACTGGCAGTGTTTGTTGATGTTTATAAATGGTCATCATTGTCTTCTCTGTAAACGTGACTGATTAATACAGTCACAGGCTGCGGAACCTCAGAGTCACAAGTCTGACTGTGTTGCTATTTCAGGGTAAAGTAATGAGGAAGTACACGCAGCCGAACCCAAAGACATATGAAGAGCGGATCGAGCTCATACTGACCATGTGCAAACAGGCCATCGCCGAAGCTGTTCATCTCAACTGCAGGATCCTGGGAGTTGGTATGTTTGCTGTTTACCCACATAACAGTCAGTCCATCCATCCATTTTAACTATTCGTCCGTTCATCCATCTGAAGTTTGATGTATCCACTCAAGTATTTATCTGTCCAAATATCTTTCCATCTGTCTGTATATATCTGTGCATCCAAATATTCATCTGTGCATCTATTCATTCAAATACCAGTCCCATCATCCATCCATCCACCCATCTACCAAGCTTCCCATTCACCCACTCATCCAACCATCTGTTCAATCAGTCACCATCCAGCCAGCCATCCATCCATCCATCCATCCATCCCCTACACATCCACCTAACCTGACACTTCCACACACCCCCTGCCACCCCAACCCCGGCAACCCTAACCCCAGCCACCCCAGCCCTTCCACACACCCCCTGCCACTCTTACCCCAGCAACCCTAACCCCAGCCACCCCAACCCCAGCAACCTTAACCCCAGCCACCCTAACCCCAGCCACCCCAACCCTTCCACACACCCCAGCCACCCCAACCTCTTCCCATTCACACACTCATCCAACCATCTGTCCATTCAGTCATCAGTCACCATCCAGCCAGCCATCCATCCATCTATCAATCCCCTACACATTCACCCACCCCCACCCTTCCATACACCCCCAGCCACCCCAACCCTTCCAACCACCCAGTCACCCCAACCCTTCCATCCGGTTATTCATCCATCATCCGTAATTGTGTGTATATATATATATATATACACACACACACACACACACACAATTATTAATGTCATCTGTTCATTCAAATATATATCCATCCAGTTATTCATCCATTCTTCCATCCATAAACATCCATCAAATATCCATCTGTAAAATCAACCTCTCTCTCTCTCTCTCTCTCTCTCTCTCTCTCTCTCTCTCTGTGTAGGAGTGAGTACGGGTGGTAGGGTGAATCCTCAGGAGGGGATAGTATTAGACAGCACTAAGCTGATAAAGGAGTGGAGTTCTATAGACCTGCGCGCTCCGGTCTCTCGCGACCTGCACCTGCCCGTCTGGGTCGACAACGACGGAAACTGCGCCGCGCTCGCCGAGAAGAAGTTCGGCCACGGGAACGGCGTGGAAAACTTCGTCACTGTCATCACGGGCACGGGTAAGTTACTTTAGCGGGGTCAGTTACCGGGTTTGAAGAAAAGATTCAGCTTCGTTTTAATCAGAGTGTCATTCTGTGGTGTGAAGAGCAGGTTTAGCCTAAATAATGATTTGACAGTTTTCTTTTCCCAAGCTATTGTTAAAAGCACTCTTTTGGCTGAAAGGTGGTTCGATCATCTGAAACGTTGTGTGCTGACACCACAACCATGTGTGTCTGTAGGGATTGGAGGCGGTATAATCCAGCATGGAGAGCTGATCCACGGCAGTACGTTCTGTGCCGCTGAGCTGGGGCACATCATGGTGTCTCTGGAGGGCCCGGAGTGTTCGTGTGGCAGCCACGGCTGTATAGAGGCCTTTTCTTCTGGACTAGCGCTGCAGAGAGAGGCCAAGAGGCTGCACGACGGTGAGGCACAAACCAGGCACATAAACTGGCCAAAATGTAGTTGACCAGCAAACACGTTCGGTGTCAGCAAGCTTGCTTCTTTAGTTTCAGCACTGGAACTACGAGGCTGATGTAGCCTACAGGCAGTGAAGACTTATACCCCATCAATTAGCATTAGCATTGCAAGCGATGTCACAAAGCAGTTTT